CCAGACAGAGGTCAACACCAGCCACTCGCCACACCTAGAAGCTGGCCGGCCTCCTTTTGACTGGGTGACAGATTCCCAAGTGAATTACACATGTTTCTGGAAATGTGTTAGTCAGGGCCATCTGAATCATATTTTCAGTGTACACTCAACTGCTCAGCCACGCAGCTGCTACAGGCATTGATGACCCCTTCCCCAGCCAGGTACCTTCAGAATGAAGTCTTTTTGTAATACAAATGTAAAGCTCTCCGGGCTGGAGACTGGCTCAGTGGTTAAGAGCACACTTGCAGAGGACCGAGTTCGATGCCCCAGCACCCACATGCGGCAGCTCGCTACTGCCTGTAACTCCATCTCCAGGTGATCTGATGTCCCTTTGACCTCCAAATGTACACACGTACACACACACACACACAAGTACACACACACACACACACACCTGCACACACACACACCTGCACACACACACTGGCACTCGCACGCAAATAAGTTAATTTTGAATTTTATTTAATTAAAATAAATAAAAATTGTTTTTAAAATGTAATGCTTTTTAACCTGGATGTCTGTTCTCTTCTGTTTGCCCAAATGTACCATACACCTTTAAACACAGTTCTAACAAACTAGAGCTGCTGTGAGTTAAACACCAATAAATCCAAAGCCTAGGTTGGACATGATGTCCTTCTGCCTGGGAATTCCTTAACCTTCTACCTTCAGATTCAGAAAAATAAATAGGCTTCTAAAAAAAAACATAATTTCTTTATTGAATTTTTGGGATTTCACATCATGCACCCCAATTCTACTCACTTCCCAGCCTCTCCATACCCTCCCCTCCCCGCTGCAAAACCACCCAAAGAAAATTTAAAAAAAACAAGCAAAAACAAAAAGAAAAAAAAACAACCCCTGCACCCCCCCCCCCCCAATCTCACCCTGTCTCCAATCCTCTTCACTCATCCTGGTACTTTACTTGCCAATGTTCATTGCAATGAGTCACTGGTCTGGTTCAAGGCCTCTACACCGTCATCACTGGATCCTCCCCGGAACTCCTCTAGGACATCCCTTGGCTGCCTCCAGTCATGGAGATCCTGCTGGTATCGTTCCACAGGACCAGTCCCGTCACGAGCTCCAGCAGGTCCTCCATGAGACAGATGTCGGGCTGTGGGCCTGGGTGGTAGTTGAGCTAGTCGGTCTGTGCCACTAGGGCCGTCCACCTCAGGAAGGCAAGGGGCATGGCCAGCTCCCCTGCACCATCCATCAGGGTCGTGAGGAGTGGGGCCGTCTCTCCCAAGTGGGGTGGGGGTGGGGGGTGGTGCTTGTTGGCAAACGGGGTCAGAAGCTGTGTGTGAGCAGGAGCCATGTCTGTCCTAGAGTCAACCACTGGAGGTACACTCCGCAGAGCAAGAGCCTCAGGAAACATTTCCTGACAGATAAATGAAAAATGTATGTGTGCACAAAGGCAGCTCCATCTGTGATTCATAAAAGAAGTGCAGAGGAGCAAATACAGACCCAGTCAGTGCCTTCTGGGAGGGAATGTGAGGGCAGAGGTTGAACTGCCATCTGAATTCATCGGCTCTCCATTACTGTAGCAAATACTTGAGATAAAGAGGTACTGAGAGAGGGTTTATTTCAGCTCACTGTGGAGTTGAGTCTTTGCTGGTTGGGCCCATGACCCCGGGCCTGGGCTAAGGCAGAACATTAGAAATGGACCGTGTGGAGCGGGGTTCACCCAGAAGCAACCTGGAAAGAGAAAGAGAAGGGAACAGAAAGGGGCTGGTATACCGGCGTCCCCTTCGAGGGCACACTCTCAACCCCAACTTCCTCCCACGAGACCCCAGGCTGGCATTGAACCAAGGCCTGAGAGACGTTCAAGAGCCAAATTATAGCAGCGCCCAAGGTATTGAAATCAGGTAACAGTCTTGATCGGCAGTTTTCAAACATTCCGATCTCAGCACCTCACACTTAAAACCTTTGAGAACCCCCAAGAGATTAACTGTCAATACTTACACAGAGAATAAAACAAAAATCAAAGATGTTCTGACTTACTTAGAAGAACCAATCAATCCTACATCAACATGACATGTATTTATTTATTGTTTTTTCTGTTTTTGAGACAGGAGTCACTAGGTAGCCACGGCTGGCCTGGAACTCACAATGTAGACCTCAGGCAGGGGTCCTGGTTATGTCAAAGCCATCTGTCTGCTCTTGGGCTTGAGGAGGCAGGCTGATTTTCATGTCATGCTTATGCCGCGCCAAGGTCACCACTTCCGACCGAAAGTTGGGGGTTTGTTGGTCTTTCCTTTGCTGCTTTGTAGCCTCTCGAGAAGAGATCTCATGATGTGGCCCTGGCTGGCCTTAACTCAGGAGCTTCCCGCCTCAGCCAGCCAAGTGCTGGGATTGGGTGTGCCTCGGCTCCTGGACTACCTGAAAGCTTGACTGTTTGATTGAGAAATGTCCCCCAGAGGCTCAGGAATTTGAACACTTGGTGCTCAGTTGGGTGTGCTATTCGGGGCGGTGGGGCGGCCTTGTTGGAGGAAGTACCACTGGAGGAGCTTTGGGGGTCGATAGCTTCGCCCACTTCCGGTCTGCTCTTAGCCGCCTACTCTTTCTGCATGCCTCCCCACCACAGTGGATTCCGATCCCTCTGGACCTGTGGGCTGAAGTCTTTCCTCCATCTGCTCATGGTGCTGTATCATGGCAACAGATCCAAAAGTACCTGAGACACAACACAGCCCCAAGCATCCGCCAGGAGTTTTACTGCCATTTCCCAGTCCTGTGGAGTTCGCTGGGGACCGCACACACGTCGGGCAAGGTCTCTATCACTGAGCCACAGCCCTAGCTCCCTAGCTGCCTCTCCTTGTTACTTTGAGAGAGGGTCTCACGAAGTTTCCCAGGCTGGCCTTGAACTCCCTCTGTAGCCCACACAGGCCTTGAACTTGCAGTCCTTTGCCTCAGCCTCCCAAGCGGCTGGGAGTTACAGGTCTGCGTCACCAGAGCTGGTCTGTGGTGGGGTCTTCATAGCCACTCCCTCACCGAGCTCTGGAAGGCTTTGCAGGATCTGAACACACAGTATCCACCCTCAGAAGGCTTCCACAGGCAAAGGCACCATTCTATGCCAGGCCAGCCGGATTAGAAAACAGCATCTGCGGGCGCTTGCCAGCCCCCGAAGGCGAGGACATAGTTCACCACCGCAGTTAGCAATTGCCTGTGCAGGGTAGTATTTACTGAGGGCACATACCCAGGCGCTTGAGTGACAGGAGCCCCCAGGTTGCCAGGGAGGAGACTGGTAATTTTGCTTCTAAGCATCCGCTGCTGCTCCCTCTGGATAGCACTACTGAGAATTGTGCCCCTCAAGGGCCGGTGGAGCCACTGACTTTGAAGAGGGCCATTTTGAACAGCTGGAAACAATATGCAGAGAGGGTGAGGAAGCGGCCTGGAGGACCGGCTTTCCTCCTTAGCTGTTTTCAGAGGTGGGAAGATGACGGTGGGTGTAGTGGACTATGACCACGGAGAAGCGTATGCCTCGGCACCCAGGCAGCCGAGTGACGGCCTCCGTTTTCACGGCCGCAAAATGACGAGCTCAGATGCCACCGTCTTTCACGTCCCTTTCATCTCCGGGGCTCTACGGTCTCCGGGAGCTGTCAAGATTGGCGTAGAACTCCGTCTTGATTTTATTATTCCTCGTTCATCATCTTCCGCCGGGGCCTGTGGCAGCCTGAGCATACGGAAGTAAGTGGCTCGTGCTCCCTGGGATGATGGAGGAGGTGCTGAAAACCCAAAGGGGCTCCCCTAGCACTCCGCCACTGTGAGCCTGTAGCCCCAATCCCCCCCTCAACCCCCTACCCCCCCACCCCTGTCCCACATCCAGACAGGGCTGAAGGCATTGTCTCGACATGGTCTCAAGTTCCTAGGGCACATAACTACGTGGCCCGCGGTTTTTGCAGAGCCTTTCAGCCTCTGGGCACCCTGGGAAGGAGAACAGCATCCAGAGAGACGCACACCCACCAGGCAAGGTGCGGGGCACAGGGTGACCCCACAGTGACCGGTAGACCTAAGGAATCGGTGGGGTACACAGGGTAGCCACCAGCCCAGAGAGTGGCCCTAAGTCTCAGCAGCTGAAGAAGGAATGACTCCACATGCTACACTGTGGTGGTCTGAAAGGGAGTGGCCCTGTCAGGAGGTGTGGCCTTGTTGGTTTGGTATGTCTGTAGGTAGGTTTTTGTTGAAGGAAGCTGTGTCTTCTGTGGGGGCGGGCTTTGAGATTTCCCACGCTCAGGATACTGCCCAGTTGTCTCAGTCGGTTTCCTGCAGCCTGCAAGATGTAGGACTCTCAGCTCCTTCTCCAGCACCATGTCTGCCTGCACGCTGCCGCCGCCTCCCACCATGATGATGACGGACTGAACCTCTGAAGTGAAAGCCACCACCTCCACGAAATGTTTTCCTCCATAAGAGTTGCTGTGGCCATGGTGTCTCTTCACAGCAATGGGACCCCTGACAGACATGCACTAAACTTCATTTGATCATCTGCTCTCCCCCGGGGTTGGCCAGCAGAAGGGGGTCTCTGACCACCCTCCAGGGCTTGAGCCCTGCTATGGCACTGTTCCTCAAATTCAAGTGCTAGAAGCTAGCCTCCATGCATCGGGGCTGGGGTCGGGCCCCATGAGAAGCCATCCTAACTTCAGGGGTGAGTAATCCAGTTATCAAGCAAGTGGGGGCAGGAGGAGGGGCATGGAGAGATGGATCGGCAGTCAAGACCACTTGCGGAGAACGCAGGTTCAGTTCCCAGCGCCCACATGGGGCTTACAACTGCCTGTAACTCCAGTTTCACGGGGTCAGAAGGCACAGATGGGTCTCCTGCTTCCTTTTCTCCTTACCAGGGCTCGGGTATCAAGGTATAGCAATGCCCCTCCCTGCTGGCTTCCGTTCTTAACCTAAAATAACGGACAGGAGCTATTGGCCATGAGAACTTCCCAGCGTTCCTGGGACAGCTTGGCCTGGTGGCTCATACCTGTAGTTCTAACACTCAGGAGTCAGAGGCAGGAGGATCACAGCGAGTTTGAGGCCAGCCTGCATTACATAGAAAGTTCCAGGCTCAGCAAGACTACGCAGAGAGACGATCTCCAAAAATAACTACGTAAGCCACCGGACAGCACCCTGAGGTGGTTCTCTCCCGTGTCACTTCCTGAACAGTCCCCTCCGCACTCGGTTGGAACACGGGTGGACACCAGATGTGAAGTCATCCCTTCTCACTCACTCCCTTGGCAGACTGGACGCGTCAGATCAGTTCCTTCTCGGGTGGGCGTGGAAGGGGGCTTGAGGGTGTGTCCCGGAGACTGAACACCCAGGACCATGGAAGCAGAAGAACCTCCTTGGGGGAACTCTCCAACCACGTTGACAGGGTGAAACAGAAAAGAGCAGATCATCTTATCTCCCTGCACCCCAAGGCATCCATCTCCTTCATCTCCAAAGCAAACACCTTGAGAAGTATCCCCCAGGGCCGAGAAACCTGTTTGTCCCAAGACGTCCTCATACAGTCAATCCATCAGCAATGACTGAGTGTGTCACACTCAGTCAGCCTTCAGAGCTGTAGCTGGGTCAGGCCCTCATCACTGCATATTGTCTTTGCGGAATACGGGAGCCGGGGCGACTTTGAAATCTTGTTGAATGGTGCAGTAACTTTGCACAGGGAGGTCTCCTGGTCGAGGGCCCAGGGAAATTCCCTCAGAAACCGCGGGGGGACTTGAGTTATGCAGCCCCATCACAGACCTGGCTGCAGTAACACCCCAGGCTTGAGGAGGCAGCTGAGCTGAGTGCACCCATTGTGAAACTCCCACTACCACCCATCTGCTTGGCTTGTGCTCTCAACCAGGTGTGGCTCAGCCTGTCCGAGGCCCAACCAGGCTATCCAAAGCCTCCCGAACTCTTGGTCAAATCAAGAATGTTGGAGTCATTTTTTGAGACCCAGAGACCCAGGAAGAGCGGTGTGGTCATGGCCAAGACCCTTTAGCCTACCCACACTTCAGTCTAAGGTGGGACTAAAAGAGACACGTAAATCGTTACAAGATCGGTGCCAATGAAGTCGGAGAGGCTGTTTGCAGGGTGCCGGGCACATCGGCTAGATTTTACTACGTGCAGGCCGAGACCCAGCTAGCCGGCCCAAGGGAAACCAGGAGCTGGGCACACACCTTCATCATGCCCAGGCTCCATGCACCGGAGCTGGGGAGGTGGATCCCCGGAAGACCAAAAAGCCGCCATCCATTTTTAGAGCAGAAACGCCCCCCACTTTCTTCCCTGGGTGGTCTCATCTGGACTGAGGCCACCTGATGGTCGCACCCACCTTCCCGGGCAGAGCTACACCAACCCCAGATTCGGCTGTGGGGACAGCTTCCCCGCCTCACTCGCTGCCTGCTCTCCTCTGCCTCTCCCTCGGTCGGCCCCTCCCTCCAAAACGTGGGGCCACCCTGGCCACGTCTCCAAAGCACAAACATCCGCGGACACGGGAGTGAGGCCGTGGGCGGTCTGCAGGCCGCGGACGCAAAGGGGAGCTAGCTGCGAGCCCAAACTTGCTCTTAGGAATTCCTGACCGAGAGAGACTCGAGGAACCACATTCTGCACTAGTTTGTGTGAGCGGAAACCCAGGCGAAGCCAGGAGCCCTGCAGAAGAGAGGGAGATGGGGGAGAGGAGGAGAGGGGAGGGAGAGGAGGAGGGGACGAGGGGGGAGGGGAGTGGAAGAAGCCAGGGAAAGATGCAGGCGGGGAGGGGGAGGGAAGAAAAGGGAGGGAGAGGGGACAGAAAGGACGGGGAGGAAGAGACCGTGCACGGAGCCTGTACCGGGAAGTGGGGAAGCCTCAGGTAGCTGGGGTGGGGAGTGGAGGGAGGTGGAAAGGAGGGGGCGGGGCGGCCACGGAGTCCTTGACCTCGGAGCCTGGGCTTTGCTGTCCGTCGGTCTGTCTGTCCATCGATCCATCCATCACGGGCTCCTGGGAGGCTCCGTGGGCTTCCGGGGGGGAGCAGGGCTTCCCTGAGCGGACCCCGCAGCCCGCTGTGGTACTTACTTCTCGTGGGTTTCACGCTGGAGGACTCCAGATGCGAGGCAGAGCCCGTGTCCTGCGGGCTTCCGTGGGTCCCCAGTCCTGCGGGCTTCCGTGGGTCCCCAGTCCTGCGGGCTTCCGTGGGTCCCCAGTCCTGCGGGCTTCCGTGGGCTGAGCCCCGGACCCGGCCGTGCTGCCAGCCCCTCTGCCCCTGTGCGCTGCACGGGTGCAGCCTGGACTCTGCACTGACTTTGATCTGTTTCCGTCGTGGTGGGTTAACCTCGCCTCGCTCGATGACGTTGCAAAAAAAAAAAAAAAAATAGAGGCTTAGAGGGAGAGGTTATCTTTAGCCCTGCTGGAAATTAGTTAACTCAACATCCCCGAACGCGGTGCCAATTCGGAGAGTATTGATAATGGCAAGGGTAACAACAAATTTTAGCCAGCCTACAGGCGTTCTGCATAAAGCAGTGTGGTGAAATCTCACCAGTGGGGAAAGCAAACTTCTTAGGATGTTTATCGTGTTGTGGGGTGGTCAGTCTCACACACTGCGTGTAGATCTTAGTGTGCATGCGCGCACATGTGAAAGTCCTGCAACGAGTGGGATCATTTCCGCCCGAAAACAGCTTTGACCCTTGAGTGCAGGCAATCCAACTTAGAAAATCCTCAAACGCTATTATTATTGTTGTTGTTGTTGTCTTTAAAATTAGCTCAAAGACCAGAAAAACCACACACTTAAAACTGGCCCGAAGATCACTTCAGAATAGGGCAGCCCTGCAATGATAAGGAAAATTAATAGGCCCAATTGAATTTAAAAAAAGACCGGCGGTGGTGGCGCACACCTTTAATCCCAGGGAGGCAGAGGCAGGTGGATCTTTGTGAGTTCGAGGCCAGCCTGGTCTACAGAGTGAGATCCAGGAAAGGCGCAAAGCTACACAGAGAAACCCTGTCTCGAAAAACCAAAAAAGAAAAAAGTTCTTCTGGCCACATCTGATCCACACCTGAAAAACTATACATGTGTCATTAAATCAACCATACTAACCTCATACTAACCTGTGAGACCTTCATGTGAGCAAACTCTCCGAGAGGAAGCTAGGAGCCCCCCCCCCAACCCCCACCCATACGTCACAATTAGGCTTGTAGCTTGATGCCCTGGGATCCTGTGTTCTCTATCAGAGACAGTGTGGGAGCCCCGGGGGTGGTATGGACTCATCCTGCAGCTTGTCTGGTGTCCTTGTTTGTTTTGAGACCCACCTGTGCCTGTGGCTGCCTCCCATGACATTTCCAATTGGGATCGTTCTCAAGGAAAGCTGGTCTTGGTGTCTTTGAAGTGTGACACTGCCTGGCCACTGAAAGCTACCCGCTCTTCAAGACTTGTAGGCAAGGCCTGTACATATCCGATGTGACGGCATAAGTGCTCCTAACCACTGAGCCATCTCTCCAGCACCCCCACTTTCTGTTTTGAAACAGGGTCTCACTATGGCTGGCCTAGGACTCACTGTATAGACCAGGCTGACCTCTGCCTTCTGAGTGCTGGGATTAAAAGTATGGACCGCCACACCCATCCTTAACTTTTTTATTATTATCTTACTGTTTTATGAGTACGTGTATATGGGTGTTTTGCCTTCGTGGTGTGTATGTACACTGTGTGCGTGCAGTGCCCACAGAGACAAGAAGAGAGTGTCAGATCCCTGGAACAGGAATCACAGATGGTTAAGAACACTGGCTGCTCTTCCAGGGGATCTGGGTTTGATTCCCAGGGCCCATGGCAGCTCAGGACAATCTGTTAACTCCAGGGCCAGGGGAGTGGACACCCTCTTCTGGCCTCAGCAGGCAATCCACACATGGTACACAGGCATACATGCAGGCAAAACACTCATTCACATAAAATAAAATTTTAAAAAATGTTTTTTGCTGGGCCGTGATATGCCTTTAATCCCAGCATTTGGGAGATAGAGGCAGGTGGATCTCTGAGTTCAAGGCCAGCCTGGTCTACAGAGTGAGTTTCAGGATAGCCAGGGCTACACACAGAAACCCTGTTTTGAAAAATAAATAAATAAATAAAAATCTTTTTTTAAAAAACTCTAGCTAACTTAAGAAAACAAAAATTCAGAAATTTCACATTTTATTTTCCTTGCTGAGTAGCAGGCTTCTCATGGGCCACAAACCAGTTCCCAAATCATGACATGGAGATTCATTATTAGTTATGAATGCTCAGGGTTATCTTATGCCTGTCCCACCAGCTCTTATAACTTAATTTAACCCGTTTCTCTTCATCCATGTTTTGCCTCAGGGCTTTCTACCTTTCTTTCATTCTGTATGTCCTACTCTGTGTCTAGCTGGATGGCCCTGGGCGTCTCCTTCTCTTTCTCTTGTTCTCTTCTCTCTCTCCCCTCCAGCCGAGATCCCCCCCACCCCACTTATTCTCTCTGCCCACCAGCCCCACCCTTCTCTCCTCTGCCTTGCTATTGGCCGTTCAGCTTTTTATTAGACCAATCAGGTGCTCTAGGCAGGCAAAGCAACACATCTTTACATTGTTAAACAAATGCAGCATGAACAAATGTAACACTTCTTTATGTCATTAAACAAATCCAACCTAAACAAATGCAACACACCTTTATATAGGTAAAGTAATATTCCACAACATTGCTGTAGTTTATTTTTCTCTCTTTTCTCGTGAGTTGAGGTGGAGTAAAGATAACAAAATGGAACTTGGGCCTCTACAAATCACAATTACTACTTACCAAGAACATGAGAAAAACTCATTTTTGATTTCATGGATATATTCCCTTCTGTGAACTTACATTTAAGATCAAAATACCTGGAAAGCAGATGTCTTCATTTTAGGCTGAAGGTGAACACATCAAAAGATGAGGTGAGCCTGGCATGGTGGCACACACCTGCCATTCCAGTACTTGGGATGCTGAGGCAGGAGGATCCAGTTTGATACAACCCCGGACTGTAGAGAGAGGGACCCCACAACTCATTAAAACTAAAGTGAAGAAAAAATAAAAGCCTTTAATCTCGCCTGACAGTAGTGGTGCACACCTTCAATCCCAGCACTCGGGAGGCAGAGCTAGGAGGATCTCTGTGAGTTCGAGGCCAGCCTGGGCTACAGAGTGAGATCCAGGATAGGCACCAAAACTACACAGAGAAACCATCTCGAAAAACAAACAAACAAAATTAAAAAAAAAAATTTTAAAGCCTTTAATCTCAGCACTCATGAGGCAGAGGCAGGCAGATCTCTATGAGATTTGAGACCAGCCTGTCTCAACAACTTACCCCCTAGTTCTTTTTTTTTTCCTACCCTTGTTGTTAGCATAGTGGTAGGGCGCTGTGGGATGATCCTTCTGTATGCTGTGACTATGTATTACTCCATTGGTTAATAAAGAAGCTGTTTGGCCAATAGCCAGGCAGGATAAGGTGTGGTGGAAAAACCAAACTAAGGAGGGGAAGAAGAAGGATAGGGGAGAGAGAGATGCCATGATGAGCTGCCCAAGAAGCAAGATGCCAGAGGACCGGTAAAGCCACGGACCACGTGGCAACATATAGATGAATAGAAATGGGTTAATTTCAATGTAAGAGCTAGTTAGTAATAAGCCTGAGCTAATGGGTGAGCATTTGTAAACAATATAAGCCTCTGTGTGGTCATTTGGGAAGCAGCTACAAGAGAGGACCCTCCGTTTACAGCGTGGATCGTAGAATCCCATGCCTGACCTGCTGTAGGAATCGCTCGACCACTGAGCTCCTCCACCAGGAGCTCCTGTAACCCCACACATCACAGTGGGTAACGATAAATCACCACGGTGCCAAGAATTCTAGGGATTTTCTTATTGTCGGTGTTTTCTTGGGAGTCATGTTCTTATTTCATTACTGTATTATCTACCTCACAATTGAATTGTCAGATTTAAATGTTCAGTGTCTTGGAGGTGAATCCATTGTAGGATGTGGCTAGAGAGACTTGTACATGGCTACATGTGCTAATGCAGCCCATACAAGACACAAGTATGGTGATATTTTTTATTTATACTGAAATGTGATTTTATTTGTATGTTAATAAATAAAGTTGCCTGGGGGCCAGAGCTAATAGCAAGCCATAGCAGAAGCGGGCGGTGGTGCACATGCCTTTAATCCCGACCACATGACAGGCAGATCTCTGTGTGTTCAAGGATACAGCCAGCATGGAGACACACGCCTTTAATCTCAGTACCAACCATAGAAGACTTGGAGGTCTGTATAGACAGGCAGTGACAAGGAGGTCATGTGGTTGGGTTTACAACCAATGAGAAGGCAGAACAGAAAGTCAATAAAAAGACATATACACAGGAAGTAGGTCTCTTTCTGAGGGGAAGGACAGCAGCGGCAGGAAGGGTAAGAAGGCGGTTTTTAGTCTCAGCTCTCAGCTACTGCTCTGACCTCTTGGGCTTTTAACTCTGCATTTGGCTTTGTGTTTCTTATTTAATAAGACTGTTCATCTACATACAGGCTGAGAGAAAGGCATTTGAGGCCAATCCTGATGACTTAAGTTCAATCCCCAGAACATACAAGGGAGAGGGAAGAATTGACCCCTGAAAGTTGTTCTGACCTGCACAGGTATGTACACACACACACACACACACACACACACACACACACACACACACACACACACACCAAACAGAGGGAGACAGGAAAAGATGAAGGATCCAAGGTTGTTCAACTGTTCCAACATGCAAAGGTTAGTGCCCAGATGCCAGTGGGAGAGCCTGAGACTCCAGCCATCGTCTAAGATCCTTTCATTGACTTAGAACCTGTGAGTTTCCATGAAGCGGAACGTCAAAGGTGTACACGGTCCTGCAGGTGAGTGGAGGAGGCTCCAGTCGCGTCTGGCATCCCTCCTTGCTTTTCTGCAATGAACATCCAGATCAAGATTGCCAAGGAAGCTGGGCGGTGGTGGTGCACACCTTTAATCCCAGCACTCAGGAGGCAGAGGCAGGCGGATCTCTGTGAGTTCAAAGCCAGCCTGGTCTACAGAGTGAGTTCCAGGACAGCCAGGGCTACACAGAGAAACCCTGTCTTGAAAAAAACAAACAATAGGACTGCAAATGAGATTTGGAAAGTCATGTTTGATAAGAACTGGGAAGATATCAATTGGGTCAGGGGTCAGTGTTGCTACTCTTGACACTTTTCTCCTGGGGACTCCGTTGGGCAGGAAAACATGGTTGTCCTGAGGACACAGACCTACCTCATGAAAGTCACTTCAAAAGCTTGAAGCAACTTCCAGGTAAGCTTCTTTTGCTTGATAATGGCTGTCTCTAGATTTATTGTGAAGAAAAATTTCTATGCACATTCACAGATGTTTCACTTAGTGTTGATTGATTGTTGAGACAGAATCTGATCATGTAGCACAGGCTGGCCTATAACTTACCGTGAATCCCAAATTGACCTTGAATTTGGTACCTTCATCCCTCTACCTCCTAAGTGAGTCCTCGGGTGACAAGTTTATGCTACCATGTCTGAATGCTTAGAGACTCAGAGTAGTGAATGAAAACTAGGTGATGTCCTCTTTAAAGTCGACCATTAATTGATTGATTGACAGAGTCTCATAGATCCCAGATTGACATCGAATTCACTCAGTAGCCCAAGATGACCTCCAGCTCCGGATCCTCCCATGAACCACTCCCATCCCCCACCCCAGTACTGGGATGACAGGCCTCAGCCACTACTCCCTTTTCATGTGCCACGGAGGATGGGGTCCAGGGCTGCCTGCATGCTATCCAAGCACCGCATCATCTGAGTTGTAAAGTCAGCCTGGCTGACTTTATAGTTTATCGGTACCGAGGATTGAACGGAGAGCCTCCATGCTCAGCCCTCTGCACCGAGCTATAGCCCAACCCTGGAGTTGACCATGAGAAACAGCCTGAGACTTCCAAAAGGAACTCATGTATCCTGCTGTTTGAAGGGCTAACCTTCCAACTGATTGGGAAACTGCCCCAGCAGGTAATCTGAGTCACCTTGCGGCTCTGGTCATGTCCCTTGGCCTTCACTTTGGCTTGCAGACAGTATTTTTCCTCTCACCAACTCATGACGGTGCCTTGGGGAACCAGGAAAAACTGATGTTGCGAAGTTACAGCGCACATTTTTTAAATGCCTCAGGAAAGATCAGGTTTTGAAAAAAAAAAAAAAAAGCCTCTTGTGAAATGCAGTTGCTCGCTCTGTGAGAGACACAGGCACACAGTCTGCTCGGCTCTAACAAAAATATCTGTCTCTATAATTCAAAACCAAAGGCGGAGCAACTCCATGCAAGACTTGAAGGAATTTGTGTCCTTTTTAGATCTGCAGGGCGAGGCCTGCTCTTTTCTGCCATCTCCAGATGAGAACACGGTGGACATGTAGCTGTCTTGCTGTCAGCACTTCCTAAGGAGACCTCCGTGTGCGCATGGCAGAAACAGGTCTGCTGCTGCAGGCTCTCCCCTCTAAAGGGGCCACACTGAGCTTTCCTCCAGGAAGCTTCAACCACTGAAATAATTACAGGCTTCTGACGGCTCCTGACAGTGTCCTTTGTCCACTTCCAAATGGACAAATTAGACATATTTGATGTCCTTGCATGGCCCCTCCAGGGCACTGAGTACACACATGTGCAGGGATGCCTTCTGCTCCTGGACTACACACACACACACACACACACACACACACACACACACACACACACACAGTGTTGCCATGGGCGGCTGTGTGAGGACCCATCTTTCAAGTCACATATATTCCATCTGTACTTCCCACCACTGCATGGGCAAATCTAGTCACAAGTCACACGAGATTCTAACCCAGGCAAAGAAACCATCAGGGCTGGAGAGAGGGCTCGGCAGCCAAGCGCACTGCTCATCTCTCAGCTGCCCCAGGTTCGATTCCCAGCACCCAAATGGCAGCTCAGACCATCCAGTTCCGGGGGACCCAATGCCCTCCTGGAGCCTCCATGGGCACTGGGCACACATGTGGCATTTGAGGGAGGCCATCCTATGAGAGAGACGGAACACACAAATCCACCGGTCACACACACGGGCCGGCATGATCAGGAAGATGTGGGACTTTTGCAGAGGGGGACATTCCCTGCAGATAATGAGACTGGACAGGGCCTAAGAAAGGAGGCAGAGGCGGATTTGTGGAACGCCCCGCCTGCGGCCCCCCATTCTCCTTGCTGGTACCTAGTCTTCAGGCTCCCGCTTCCTCGGTCACAGGGAAGCAAGGTCTGGGTGAAGGCTGAAGTTCCTTCCCGTCGTCGTTCTGTGACGATGGCGCCCCTCTGGTGCACGCTTGGCCCTTTCGTTGACTGAGGAAGTATGTGAGGCATAGCTATGGTTGCTTTGCTATTACGAGTAGAATCCCAGTGGCGAGTCTCACAGCTTAATAATTAGCCAGACTAAGTAAGCCACTTCCAACCTCAACCAGTGCGCTCTCTTCCAACTCTCTGAACAGGCAGCCCAGTAACAACAAACTGCGTGAACTGACTCCCGAGCATGAACAGTTAGGAAAGTTAGACACTTCTCTGTTTATACATGCTAAGACATGGACACACTGGTAAATATGTATGTATGTGCCACCTGTCATTAAAGACAACTAGTCCCATAATAAAATTATAATAATATAACCATTCAGCACACACCATGTACAAAACATGGCTGAAGACTTACCATACACTGAGTGACTTCTTTTTTAGTTATTAAAACTTTTTTATTGTTATTTTATGTGCATGTGCCTGCCTACGTATATGTACCATATGGGTGTGTGAGCCCATAGATGTCAGATCCTCTAACTGGAGGATCCTCTCTAATAACCCCGGCTGTCCCAGAACTCACTCTGTAGACCAGGCTGGCTTTGAACTCACAGAGATCCGCCTGCCTCTGCCTCCTGAGTGCTAGGATTAAAGGCGTGTGCCACCACCGCTGACTGGCTGGTAAATGATTCTTAAGTGCTTTGTCTTGCATACGGAAGGGGTCACAGTTTGACTCGGTAGAGGCCTTCCTGGAAATGCATTTGATCACATTTTCATTTGGGTGGGGATTCTGCCCCCACAGAACTCCCCACCTTTGAACAAAGAGGAAAGTCTTGGACTTCATGGTGAGTGAGACCTATTTCCACCGTGTGGCTTAATATCAGTTGTCAGCATGACTGTCTCTGGGGTCAATGGGCAAGCCCTCGGGCACACCTGTGAAGGATTTTCCTGATCAGCTCAGCTAAAGTTGCAAGACCTACCCTAAATACAGGGGCCACCTTCAGGTGACAGTCCAGATAAAAGGGATCTGAGGGAGAAAAACTGATTTTGCCCGCGGTGCCTTCACATTGTGTAGCTAAGTCCATCTACCTGTTGGCATCTTTCCACCATTCCTGTTGGCGCTGGGACCCAGTGTCTGCACCCTTCCACGGTGGGCTGAAGACCAGGCTCCTCCAGGCCAGCCTCTTGGAGTGAGCAGTTACTAGGCTCTCAGCCTCTCCAGTGTGAGGCAGCCGTACCCCACCGCTCCAGCCAATCGAGTGAGTTCCCTTTTAATGCATACTCATTCTGGAGGCTTTGTTCCTCTAGAGAACCCTAAGACACCATCCGTAGTGTGACCAGAAAAAGGAAGCAAAGTGTCAGTGAGACTCGAGGAAGCTTGGCCGGCAGTGACAATTCAGTCGTAAGATGATATGGTCAGAAGCACGGGTCTGGAGACAGCTTGGACCGGTCAGATGCGGTTCTATGGGCGCACATCAGACCAGCGTCCACACGGCTAAGGAGGTTCCTTGGGACCACTCGTTTCCACCGTCTTTGCTCACCCAGGATTTCCTAAACAGTGAGACATTCAGTAGCATGAGAAACCAGGTTTATCCTGTGATAGCGTGAAGCGCATGTTCCCCCATGTACACATACAAAATGCACCGTGTTTCACTCGTGTGCTGCTGGTAGAAAACAGAAAAACTGTTCCCCTTGGAAGCCGCGAAGGCCATTCTCTTTGATATCCTTCAACCAAATCAAACAGGATCATCTTCAGACACCAAGGCCGACATTAAAGAGAGATGTGTTACCGGCCACAGGTCTCTTTCATGGCTGCTTGGCTTTGCCACTAAGAATTCAAAATCTACGGGACGGTTCTGTTTAAAACAATTTAGTTGCCAAAACTGGAGGCCGATTGGACTTTTGGTCCCTTTGGCTTGCCAGACTCTGATGGAGTTTATAGTAAAGAACAGTTTGGCCGGGCGGTGGTGGCGCACGCCTTTAATCCCAGCACTCGGGAGGCAGAGCCAGGTGGATCTCTGTGAGTTCGAGGCCAGCCTGGGCTACCAAGTGAGTTCCAGGAAAGGCACAAAGCTACACAGAGAAACCCTGTCTCAAAAAACCAAAAAAAAAAAAAAAAAAAAAAAAAAAAAAAAAAAGAACAGTTTGGCTAGGGAATGGGGATTTCTTGTTTTGAGACAGGGTCTCGCTCTGTTCTGGAACTCACAGAGATCCACCTGCCTCTGCCTCCCTGTGCTGGGACTAAAGGCGTGAGCCTCCACACCTGACAATAATGGTTTGTTTTCCGTTTTTTGTGTTCATTTCTTTTTCTTTTAGACAAGGTCTCATTGTGCGGCCCTGGCTGACATGCAATCTACTACGTAGACCAGGCTGGTCTTGAACTCACAGAGATCTGCCTGCCTCTGCTTCCATAGTACTGGGTCTAATTAAAGACCTGCACTACCATGCCCAGCCCTTCCTAACCTTTTGAACACCATGAGTTAATCTTCTTTTTACCCAAAACTTTTGCGCGCACGCACACACACACACACACACACACACACACACACACACACACACAGACACACACACTATCCAAAGGGGACATTTTGAAATACCTTCCTTATGTTCTAAATCTCTTCCCTTTTTTCATTTCTTACTTTCGTCACTCGTGTGTGTGTGTGTGTGTGTGTGTGTGTGTGTGTGTGTGTACATGGGTACACTTGTGTGCCTGAACATGTATGTACACATGTGGAGGCCATAAAATGACCTGGGTGTCACCCTCAGCAACGATGCTCACCTCCTTTGTGGGAAGGTTTGTCCTGGGCTTGGAGGCCACTGATGAAGCCAGACTGACTGGGCAATGGGCCCCAGAGACCCTCCTGTCTCCCCCTCCCAGAGCTGGCATCTAAGTGGACACCGCCATGGCCAGCATTTGTCGCTGTTGCTATCATGAAAAACATGCATTTAGAACTAGCCAGTCTGAGTCAGTTCAGATGACCTCAACTGTGCCGGCTGGCCGCAGTCAGAGCGTCAGGGCAGCGGAGGAACGTTACACCTTCTTCTCTCCGTCAGGCCTGACCGGGTGTTGACTTTGGCCCCGTCCATCCACGTCAGAGTCTCTGCACAGCCTGTTTGATCCAGTGCTCGCTGGCCTTGACATCTACAGTGAAGGTATGTGTGGTGTTGTCGTCTGTCTCTTCGGCCGGCTCAGCGGCCAGGGGAACTTGGTGGCAGCACAGTGGTCCAGCTCGTGTCTCCCGGGCACCTCCCCCAGGATGTTTGGATGGCTTCTGGAGCTGTAGCATCTTTGTCTCCGGAAGGAGGGTGGCGTGCAGGTCTTTTGATGGCTGCGAGCTGCGTCTGGCACTGCCTTTTGCTTTCAAAGCCTTCACGTCTTCCTTCACTTTTGATGCCATCTTGATGAAAAGCTGGCCCAGCTTTCTTAAGAGGATTCTGGGGTCAAACTCAGGTTCAGGTCTTCCTGTTTGCATGCCAAGCGCTTTGTCATCTGAGGACACTCAAGTCTACATTCCTTTTTTTTTTTTTTTTTTTTT